TAGCAGCAGAAGGAGCCCCCAAGGTGAGGAGAACCAGCGTCTCTCTTTGGAATGTAATAGAATGTTAGAGACCCTTCCCATGGGGCCAGTTATGGGAGACCCCTGAAGTGGGTTCCAATCTCCTGCCTGGATTATGGCACATGGGGGAAAGAAAAAAATGAGCAAGAAACAAAGCATAGGGGTGCATAGCAGGGATGGGGAATCACCACTTGCTCTCTAGGAACAAAAAGCCCTGAGTCTCCAGCCAGCTACCATTTTATGAAGCAGTAGATGAATATCAGGAAGGGGGCTTTTCTTGGAACAGCACAGAGGCAGTGGAAGAATGGACAAATTTAACACTATAAAGGAAACAAGCCTCTTTCCATCTCCACACCTGGATGCTAAACTCATTGACCCAAAGAAAAGTGATTTCCACATCCCAAAACCTGCCTAAAAGACAAGCAGGACAGGGAGAGCCTAGGACTGATTCTATGTCAATTTACAAATTGTATACCCAACAATAGAATCCATCTATGATGTCAGTGTCAGGCACTGGGCTGATTTTCCCTTGTGCTGTAAGAAAATAGGTGCCATCATTCTGGATGTCATGGCAATAACTCACAATTCACTCAAAATGATCTTCTGATATTCATTTAAACACTAGGGGAATGTATTTTATTTTTCAACTGTTTTTTAGATGAAAAAATCCACCATTAAAATAAGACCCATAGAGAATTTTAAGTGACATAAAGTTACCACTTAGAGGGGAGGAAAGCTCTCTAACTAGTGGAAGTGCAAGGTACCCAAAGAAACACGTGCAGAAGTGTGTCATCACTTTGAAAATCTCTCTGGTCTGGAAAAGACGTCTTTCTGGACAGGGACATTATATGCTGCAAACTAAAGATCAGTGTCTCAAAGCATTCTCGTCCTTCTTTTTCCTTTTCCCACGTGGATTCTCAAAGCACCAAGAGGATCACCATGGCTCTGAAGATGTCCCTTGTCATGTGCCCACAATCATTCTGGCGCTCTGGGGCTGGGGTGTGTCCAGCCTCACCTGTGCAAAGAAGCTACACCCACCAAGGTCCAGCAGCAGCACACGAGCTCAGGCAGCTCCCCCAACAGCATCCCCAACCACTATGGTGACGTGATGAAGCACTGGAAAACTTACTGCACTGATTGGCAGATGTGCAGGCTGTCTGCTTCCAGAAAATTGTCACCTGCAAGAATGGTCAGACCAGCTGCTACCACAGCCACTCCAGCATGCACAGCACAGAGTGCCACATGACAGGGAAATCCAAGTTCCCTGACTGCTCTTACCATTCCAGCCACGTGGAAAGGAACAGCATCATGGCCTATGAGGGGAACTCGTATGTGCCAGTCCAATTTGATACTTCTACAGAGCCCTCCACCTAAGCCAGAGCAGCGAGACACCCACCTCACCCCTTGTCATCATTTCAACCCTTGCCTTTCCTGTCTTCTTTCCTTGCCCCCCACCCCAAAACCCACCCTCAGTTAGGGCTCCTGCCCAACACACAGGAGCTTCCCTCTCCTGTGTCTGACTCCTGCATGGCTTTGGGGTTGAGGAGTGGGTGGTGAGGTGGGCCCCGTATGAACTCCTTCACTGCTTCTTTCAATAAGACACAGCTCCTGAAGCATCCTCCCAGGAGCTGCTTCTGAGGTTGCTTTCCAGTAAAGAGTGCGGCATGCAGAACTGGTTCATTTTGGTAAAGAGAAAATGGAAAATAAAACACCCTTCCCCTTTAGACTGGTGGATTTTGCTGTCAAGAAAATATCCTTTTTTGTGTGTGTGGGGTGAGTTATTTCCACATCAGGAAAAGTATATGTTATTGGCAAGTAAGGACCTTAATTCACAGAACTAAAAGAGAAATGAACTCATGGTATTCAGGGACAGCAAGTGGATTTCAGCTTGTGTACCAGCTTTATTGGAGGTGCCTACCTAGGGAGCTATAGAAAAAACCTACAAAGTGCTGTTGTTTGACAACCTCTAACTGAAGTGCACACACCACACATTTGCCGACTCTGACCTCATTTAAGTCCCACTTTTTGAAACACTTGCTCATGGCCCCTGGTTGCTGGCACATGGCCCCTGGCTGAGACTGGAATTTAGGACTCCTTAGTCTTTCTACTGAGAGTTTAACTCAGGAAATAATTCTCCAGTCTGATGGAGACCACTATTAAGTGACACTACACAGATTTTAGGATTAATAATTACTTTCTATAATTATAAGTCTGTCCCAGGCCTAGGTGACTTGTTCAAAGAGCTGGTGGCAGGCAGGGACTAAGTGTGACTCTTCACACCAATGATCACAGGAGAGGTCTGTACTGGTTCATGGCTTGGATGGCAAGATAAGGTCATAGCTGAGGAAGTTTTGTTCACTCCTTATTCCGGAGCAATAAACTGCCGACCTTAGAGATAAGACAAGTCTAGTAACATGAAAGATTTACTGCTGAATAATGTCTTTGTCCTGACTTCCCAAGGTCCTGCTCAGCTCCCTGCATTTGCCTTAGCTTTTCCCTTCACTTTCACTCTCCTCCCCACACTCAAATTCCAGTAAATACTGGCAGTCCAGAGCAGTCTTTGTCCCAGCTCCTAGAGTTCTGAGCTCCACAAGCTCTATTTGCATTAACTTTATTTAATCCTTTTCCATAAGTTTGCCTCTAAGATCTGGAGCCTGAGCAGCTGGAGATACAGTCTCCCTCCTTCCCCAGATGCCGGGGAGAGGTATCCCTCTCTTGCTAGCACGATCACCTACAGATCTCCAGGATAACTGGCCTGTGAGCCAACCCTCACAGTTCTTAGCAGCCCTTCCTGAAGGTGAATTAAAGTCCTAGATTACCTTTCCCTCATCGCTTGATCGTTACTTCTGATCCTGCGCTGGTTGCTGTGTCTGTGTCTGGACAGGCTCACAGAACTGTGGAAAGGCCCCACTTCCAAAAGTGTGACAAGCTCTGTTCTTGTCATTGCACATTTATAGACTTGGGAGTAACTCTGACAGTCCCAGGTATCGTGTTATGGCAGTCCATGTAGACTCAGTCAACAGGTGACTACTTCTCAGTGACCCAACTACTCCGTACTCCTACCAGATCTGAGCATACAGCCAAAATGATCATCTGTCTCTTCTCCATTGGCCATTCATCTACTCTAGCTTCCCTCTATGGTAAATTTTCTCTTCAGTTTAGGAGCCAGTATTCACTAACCCTAACACTACCCCCCACCAAAACAAGGAAGTCACCAATGCTTGAAATGAGTCCTTCAAATAATAGTAAATAGATGAGTATCATGGCACATACTTGTAATCCTAGAACTGTGGTTGAGGCAGGAGGATTATAAGTGCAAGGCCACCTTAGGCTACATAGAGAAACACTGTTTCAATCAGACAAACAACAGAGACAAACAACAGACAATTAGCTGGGCATAGAGGCACAGGCCTGTAATTTTGACACTTGGGCTTCCCATTTGCCAATCCATCAGTGTTTGCTCACTGAATGTTTTCTCTAATTGTGAATGGAAAGGCTATTTCCAATCCCCATTCATGGCATTAATTTTTAAAAAAATTAATAAAAGACTAGGAATATTTAGGAATTTTTGTTCATACATCAGAACAGGAGAGACTGCAGCAGAAGTATTGAGGGTTTGAGGCAAATTTAAGCCAGATTGTGTCTCAGACTTTTAAATAAATAAATGAATAAATAAACAAATAAATACAACCAGTGACATAGCTCAGCATTTCCTGGTTTAATTTCCAGCATCACAGCCCCCCAAAGAAAAAATAAAAAAAGAAACTACCATTCTTCTGTGTGTGTGTGACTCTCTCTGTTCTGTCTCTCTAGTTCTCTCTCTGTCTGTCTCTGTCTCTGTCTCTGTCTCTGTCTCTCTCTCTCTCTCTCTCTCTCATCACCTCCAAATAGAATGCACGCTGCCTCCAATGAAAACATATGAAATCATGAGCAGAGTCTGAAGGGATGCAGGACTCTTTATTTGCACTGACAGGACTCAGGGGCAAGCAGTGGCTGAGTTCTCAGGGAGATCGCAAAGGTGGCCTCGGGAGTGCAGGTGGCACAGGGGTGGGAAACCACTCCTTTTTCACCCACCTAAATTTAGGCAACACTCAGGGCCATCCCTGCTTATAAGGCTCTCAGAAAAGCAGAAATAATAATAACAAAGGCCCAGACAATCTCTGTAGCACCAGGTCAAAGCACAGGCACACTAGTCAGGGTCCTGACCTTCTGGAACACTTTCCCCATTCAAACCTCATTAAAAGTTCACAGACTTGGACTGCATCCTATGTATATAATGTATCAGAGTGACTTCTGGGACACACATGCAAGTTTTGTGCCTCGGCGATGACTCAGCACTCTGTCAATCATGCCTGTCAATCTTATCCAGAGACCAGGGAGAAGCCCCTGGGCTGGGGTGCACATCCTTTAAAATTCAAAACCGGATTTATCTGTGTGCTGTTCACTTTCCTGTCACCCTGACACCACCTTTCTGTTCACCCCATCTGAGCACCTCTTCCTGTCGTCTCCAGTAAATGTACCTGCTTTTTCCCTTTACCAGTGGATATACACTTGAGATTCTTTGCTCCACACACACCACAGTCTGGAATCTATGTATTAGATGTACCACACAGCAATGTAGGAATTTAAGAACAAAAATGTTCTTGGAATACTGGCAGGAGATGACTTGAAGTATGATAAAAGCAAAGTCACACTCACTAGAATGCAGCAGGAAGTCATTTTTATTGCGTGAATGCAGTGCAATTATCTTGACAAAAGTGACAAAGTCCTAGAACATTTCCCCCCTTTCCATATTTGCCTTGCTCCAGAATAGACAGGCCTCCAAAGCAGAGAAGAATTATTCTTCTACCCATCCAACCTCAGGTCTGCTACAGCACCCTAGGCACTGTAATTCTCCCAACACCTCTCCTCTTTTTTTTGCAGGAACAAGAAAATCAAAAAAGAAGATGAAGAAGGAAAAAGAGCAGACCAAAAATGCAGAACAAACTATAATAGCAACTGCCTGTCAAGACAGAGGAAAACCGCTGGGAATTGTGGACAATAGCGTCAAAGTGAACAGGAACCAGAGGGTACTGACGTGGATCCTCCTGCTGAGGTGGCTCACAGGCCACAGTGAAGTTCTTGAGAGTGGAATCAGTCCTGTAGTAGCAGTTCGGGTACTGACCTTTAGTTAACTGGCAGACAGTCATCTTCACAGGATGTATACTCTGGTGGCAGTTGTTTTGGCCATTCCTGCAGAGCTGGTTGGGCAGTGTACACACATCAATCACATTCTGGAGAGAGTTATGCAGAAAGGTGTTTGTAGGCCTGCACTTATGATTCTTTTCTAATTCATTGACAGCAGTCATCGCCGGGTCACATGGGCGAGGGTCTGGCTGTACATGTTTATGCTGAAACATCTGAAATGGGGTGAGATCCTGAGACACAGCCCAAAAAGGGCACAGCAGCCCAAACAGGCACAGCAGCAACAGGAGAGGAAACCTCACAGCTCGCACCATCTTTTCTGTGTAGGGAAAGGGAAGATCATAGTAATAATAGAAGCAATAAGAGCAAAATTATTAATCATGCCTGCTCACATTCTTATTTTGCTTTTAAAGGTTTCATGCCTCTTTTAAAAGTCTGTCCCATGTAGCCTCACAGTTCCACTGCAAAGAATGGGAGGCGAGCAGCCCTCTCCCTTGACTGGTGTATCCCATCTCCCACTTTGGCCTCTACTCCTGTATCCAGTGACTCTAATGGTAGAAATCTGGGGCTTTTTGCATCTTCCCCTGAGATCTTGACCCTTCATCTATAACTGCCTCTTCTGAATCCCCATCACTGCCCTGTTCATCCCAGTCCTGAGGTTTCCCATCTTACTAGGTGTTTATGCTGGAGTTCCTGGTGAGCTCAGAGCAGTGCGTAGCTCACGTTCAGAGGATTCCGTTTGCTTTTTCTCTCCACACCCTACCTGAGATGCTGTGCTGGGCAGAAGATGTGTTCTGAGTATCAAGAAAAAAGAAACTTACCTCTCAACAGATTTGGACTTCCAAAGTACGGATGAGAATCTAGATCTTCAAACCTCCTCTATAACTTCATATCATTACCACTTTTGATAGAGGAAGAACTCTCATTTATATAACAAGATGACTCAAAAGATTATTCAAAAGTTTACTTCTGAGTAAGCAGGAAATTCAGCTGGTAGCTGGGGTGAGTCAGCTCCCTATCCAGAACCCGGGAGGCTGTGTTAAGATCATTGCTCCCAGAGCTCAAGGGCCCGCCCAGAGCCCCGCCACACTAGGCTGCACTCGTCTGGCCGGTTTCAGGCCTACCTAGGACATGCCCAGCCACCTTCTCCAGAACCAGGAACCCGGAAACTCAGCTGGTGGCTAGGGTGAGTCTGCTTCCCATTCAAAGCACTGGAGACTATGTTAAGATCATTGCTCCCAGAGCTCAAGGATCCGGCCAGAAAACAGCCACACTAGGCTGTGCTTGCCTGGTGTGATAGTGTTATAACTCAGGCCCCGGTATAAAATCCAAGGAAGCAAGAGACCGAAAATTTAGGTGGGAGCCAATTTGGAGACTGTGTCCCAGAGACTGAAGGAAGGACTTTAAAAGGAGGCTAGAGGAAAGCGCGGGGGGGGGGGGGGGGGACCTGCAGAGCCATCAAACTTGTTGACCCGAGTCTGGAAACTGTGTTGCTGTCCACTTAGCTCTGACAATCTCGGGAGTTCCTGGTGTTTCTCAAATTACTCCCATCCTACAGACTGACATCATCTCAGAGTGGCACATCTGCAGCAATATTTGGAGAAGAAAGTGGAGAGTTAATTATCCCAGGACAGCTCGTTTTCGCTAGTGGGTGTGAAGGGGTCAAGAGTTACAAGAAGCTGAAACTTAAGTTTTACAAAGATCTGATATCTAACTCATTTGATGCATACAGAACAAAAGGAAAGCACTGATTGGGGTTTGGGCCATAGTATTTCCCGGTAATTTCTTTGAAACTAAACAGTTCTTAAAATTGGGGCAGGCTCATTTTATGACAGATCATCACCGGGTTGGGAAGAGGTCACCAGAAACCCAAATTCTTTATGGCCTAGATAGATAGGTGAGGGGAGAGGGAGGCAATAAGGCACCATACAGAACAGAAAATGGCGGTTATGTGTCAAGGTCAGGTAAAGGGTTAAACTCATATGCAAATCTCTCTGCACACAAGCAAGTTACTTCAAACAAGTGTAAATTAATGGGCCATCCTAGTTTTCTTTAGCTCTTTAGCGGAGAATAGAGGCGCCTAACAGTGATTAACAACCCTTGTTAGCTTGTTTTAGCACAACTTCTGTAGTTTGTAGAGGGCAACAATGGTTAACATATCAATTAGGTGAGATTCTTGCAATTCTTTTCAGAGGAGAGTATTGCTCACTATATCAATTAGGTCATTTAACATATCAGTTAGGGAAAAAGGATAAAAAAAACACATTTAGTAAGCCACGTTGCAGGTTTGCTATAATACACATATAACGAAGCTATTTTCTTAGAGTACAACAATAGCTTGGACCCCAGAATAAAATCCAAGGGAGCAAGAAATTAAGAAATTTGGAGCAAAGCCTTTATTTTAGGCCAGGCCTGGCGATGCAGCTTCTGGTAGCCAATATGGAAGACTGCATGCCTAACAGCTAAAAGACTGGGTTTTTATCTTGTAAAACCGTGAACAGCTGCTCTCACAATGCAATGAGGGGAGTGGGTTTGTCGTGCACTATAGAACAGGAACATGGTGATTACATTTCTTGGGAAGAGCAAGGTTCAGGTAAGGGTTGGGCTAACAAGCAAGTTTAGATTAGGCAAACATCCTCTAGGGGGAAGGCACATCCTGCAAACAAGCAAGTTACCCTGCAGACAAGCAAGTTTAGATTAGGAAGCATCCTGTTCTGCTCTTAGAGTTACCTTTGATTTTTTCCTTGCCTCTGAAGAGACTTATGAGGGGTTTTTTTATATACAGGTATAGCACCTGGCAGATTTCAGGCCTACACCAGGACACATCCAGCAACCTTCTCTGGAACCAGGAAGCAATAAATTTAGCTGGCGGCTGGGGTGAGTCAGCTCCCTATCCAGAGCCCAGGAGACTGTGTTAAGAACTGATAGAAGGGGTCCTGTGAGTTGTTTATGTAATACTGATCTAATAAGGAAGTAAGTCATGTAATGAGCAGACATGGAAAGACCAGAGAACTTTTAGGTAAGTAGATCTGGGGGGTCTTCGTTGCCCAGTGAGGTGACTGATACCTATCTAGATTTTATTAGAGGATGTGTTAACATTTATCTCATCCCTTGGGGAATAGGAAGGCCTGGCCCTTCTTGTTGTTATCTTCAAGCCTGGCCTCTAACTGATGCATCTATAGCCACAGCTGTGATACATTTTTACCTCTTGTTCTGACTTTCTGGAAGGCCCAGACTTAGCTGTCTCTGATATTTTTACCTAATTTATCTCGCTGTTTTTGCTTGTTGCTGCCTTGAAATATTACCCTGGTGTATGCCACCCTGGCTTGGAACCAACTGATTACATACTTAAACTTCCATGAACTGTGAGCTAAATAAACCTTTCCTTCCTTAATTTTAGGTGTTGGGTATTTTGTCCCAACAATAAGAGAAAAGTAACCAAGACACCCTTGTTATAACCTAAGGCCCCCTAACTATCGTGCCATAAGGTCTGTTCTGTATAAGCCCACCTGCTGCTCCCCCTCCCCTTCTCCCTTCAAATCTAACTAGGTTAAGTTTTAACTTCCTAAAGGCCATAAAACAAAGGCCTGAGGTAATAGCTCCTGACAACCTGGGTCTTCCCTACCCGGTAGCCTGTCACAAATTGTGTTAATTGCATTAGATTGTATTAGATTGTACTATTCTTCACAAAAATAGCTTTGTTTGTATCATAGCAATACCTGTAATTTGGCCTTACTGTATATGTGTGTTTTCTTTTTCCCTCTGAGTAAAGGATTGATATGTTAATCAATGCTCTCCTCTGTAAAGAATTGTAAAATCTTACCTAATTGATATGTTAACCATTGTTGCCCTCTACAAATAGAACAGTCGTGTTTTTAAAGTAAGGTAACTAAGGTTGTTAATTGCTGTTAGACTTCTCTATTCTTTGCTAAGAAAAACAAGATTTCTTCTTATCTAAACTTGCTAGTATGCAGGGAGACTTGCAATTGCCGTTTCTGCTTTGTAGTGCGTCACACCCCCATCCCCCTCCTTACATTGTGTGACCAGCAGCTTTGTGGATTTACAAGATAAAAAGTCCTGACTTTTAGCTGTGAGGTGCGCAGTCTCCAAATTGGCTCCCGGAGACTCATCACCAGGCCTGGATTTTACCTAATAAAGCTTTTGCTTCCCAAATTTTAATTTCTTGCTTCCTTAGATTTTATACCTGGGTCCGAGTTACCACAACCTTCAATTAGCTTTAAGCAATACCAATGAGTCCAGTTGAGGCACCAATGAGAAGTAAAAAGTGACAAGTCTGTGTTGCCCACCTATACCTCCCTACTACTAATCGTGAGTTGGCTGAGAGATGCCTCCCTATCAGCTGGGAATGAGCTTCAAGAAAGAGGCAGTGAGGTCCCAGGGCAATAAAAGCTACACATCAGAGTTGAAGCAGCCAACACAAAACACAAGACACTTTCTCAAACTGTCATGAAGATTCCTCCAAATTTAGAGGCTACTTGGTGCCAAAATTTGGTACTCTTTCTATATTCCTCTCTCTGCATGTCACAGAGGTGTCTTTGTGCCTCCTCCCTGGTCCAGCTCACAGTAATCACTTACTTCCCACTATGCTCACAGTCACTCAGTCCTAAGCCATTCCCTTCTTCATGGGTTGTGGCCTTTGTTCTGGTTAGTCTTGGTTCTGGCAGGACTTAGGACACTCTTGGATCCCCACAACTGCAGATATGTCTTTGTCTATTTATTCTCACCATGGATTGCATTGAAAGTGGTAAATTGGAATTTACTTATGAAAGTTCCAATAGCTTTTTCCCTGGGATTACAATTTATAAACACCTCTGGACTATGATGAGGTCAGGACAGACTCCTTTAAGGGTCTACCAGGCTTGTCCAAAGGCAACATGGCATGAAATTTATTATGTCTGGTGCAGGCAGAAAGAAGGTAAACAGGACATCCTTGTGGTATGGAGAAAAAACAGAGCCTTTTCATAGGGTTTGGACAAAAAGAGTCAATGGGGGAGCTCAAGCAAAGTATCTGGTAAGGAAGTCAGGGACCTTAGGTAAGGAGACCTGGCCAAACATCTGTGGTAAAAATTCTCCAGTACCAAGCCATCTAAAGACACTTCCCACTGGTAAGCAGCTCAGGTTAGGAGGCAGAGGCTGGTCCTTCTGCCTCGTGCATTCCAGCAGCCGTCTGAGGACACTGCTCACAGGTAACTAGCTCTCAAGTTGTGAACAGCAGCCAACCCTGCTCCTGCACACACTCCAGCAGCCCTCTGGGCACTTCTGTCCCAGGTAACCAGCATGGGCTGGGAAAAATCACCAACTAGCTCTGTACCAGCACACCCAGTAGCCACCACTGGATACGTGTAGCCAGCACTGGCCATGAGAACCAAAGAGTCATGCTCCAGAGAAATTGTAGCCAACACAGGAAAGGCCTGGAACCCCACTGTCCACTTGTTTGGAAGAACTCAAGAAAATGTCAAGAAGAAGAAGAAGAAGAAGCAAAAGGCAGTCTGTGGCCTCCACCCAAGCACAGCAAGTCCAGCAAATGAGAACATGGAAGAGATCAAGGATTTTCTCATTTCCTGATCGACGCCCATAACCCCTTACTTTGTAAATCATGCTTGCTACAGAAAGTCTGGAAAGTTTTGAGTGACACACAGTTTTTGCAAACTCCAACTGCACTGTGTCAGTGGGCCCAGGATAAAATAAATCAGCGCTGCTTTTTAAAAACATGTCTTGCCCCATTTTTGGACAATATGTTGGGGGCTCTGGGGGGCTCATTTTTGGGCTACAAGACCAACAGCATGGTAGAGATGGGCCAGTGCAGTGTTGGCCATAACCATTAATGTAGATAGCCTCAATTCAACAATAAAAAGAAACACAGGCAGAGTGGGTCAGGAGACAGGATTCATCAATATGCTTTATTCAAGAAATATATTTAACTGTAAAGGAAATTCCTAGGCTAAAAGTCAAAGGAGAAAAAACAATGCTCTATGTGACAGGAAATCAGAATAAAAGTAGGGGCAGATTGTCCATCAACTGCAGAAGGGATAAGAAAGACATGGCATTTCCATACAATAGAAAGCTACTGAGCTATAAAGAATGATAACCCCCAAGGCTCTTGGAGGTAAATGGATACAACTTGAGATCATGCTCATGGGTGAAATGGTTCAGAGTTAAGTGGGTGATCACTTTAAAATTATACACTTAAAATTGTGTTATCTCCATAGTGTAAAAAGACGAAAGGAATTAGTGGGATACAAAATGCACAATAGAGGTTGTAAAGATGAAAAGAGATGTCTAGAGAGGGAAGGCAGTGGGCACTGTTAATTTACGTCCTGTTTTGAAACCCTACATTGTTTTCATTGTTCTGTTTAGCTTCATTTTATTCTGTTTTGGTTTGTTTGTTTGTTTGTTTTCATATTTGATGGCATGGACAGCTATTTCAAAAATAGCAAAATGTATTATAGTAGACATTATTGATTTCCAGTTATCTTATTTTGAAGTCCTGCATTGCTTTCTTTTCTTTTCTTTTTTTTTTTTTTTGTTTTTGTTTTTGTTTAAGGAGAAAAAGAAAAAAAAAACAGAAAAAGGGTACAAGTTATACAGAATTTCAGAAAAAATAAACAGTAGGAAACCACTAGTTAATAGATTATATATTGTTATCTTAGAAATAGTTGTTCAATTTACAAAATTAAAGCATGTAAAGTGAACTTTCAAACAGTGAGACTGGAAACAGTTTTGTTCAATGATCCAACAAAACTCAGTAATATGGTTATCTATCTTATACACTTAAATATATATGCAATTAGATTCTTTAGAGCACTTTCTTTTCCTTTCTTTTATACAATGACAATTACACATTTTGGGTTTTATTACTCCCACAGTTCTTATTACTTTTTATGAAGAGAGTAAAACCAAATGTGACATAACAGAACAGAGTCAGTCAAATCAAAAGGATGGACATAATAGATAATGTAAAAACAAAATACTAGGTGATCAACAATGGTTACCATACTGCCTCTTGCTATCTTAAAAAGAATGCCTATATCATCAGTTATAATAAAATTGAACAAAACAGTAAAGAATAACACCAAAACATTGGAGACATTACAGGACTTTAAAAGAAGATAATAGTCAACCGGAATGGGCATCATAATGAATCTTACTGTCTTCACAGTTTTGCCTATACTTTCGAACTTGGTACTATCAAGCAAAGCAAAACAGAGGAAAATCAGTCAAAGCAAGATGGTGAGGGCTATATAGGGTTTCAAATCAAGTTAATAAGAAATCAAAGTAGGTTACTATAATATATCCTGCTATTTTTTATTTTTTGTTAATTAAAAAGATAAAAATAAAAAAGTAAATAATTTTTAAAAAGGACATTTAGATAAAAGAGGGCATAACAACAAAACAGCACAGGTCAAAGCATAACCATGTAAACAAAATAGTGTTTCACCACAAGATATCCTGACATAAAAGTAGTTGCCATAGTGTCTCTTTCCTTGAAATCTTTGAGTATAACTTCGTATACTGTGGCACCAAACATATCAAGACAATGTAAAACCATTCAAGAGAATGACACTATTACAGGGTATTTAGAACCAACTATCAGAAAATGAACAATGGTTTCTGTATAATCTCCTTGTCTATAAAATTTTTGCTTATATTATCACATATAATAAAATCCAATAAGATACAACCTGTTAAGACCAATGGAAACAGAAGAATAAAAGCTTGATGGGACTTCAAAACAAGATGATACTAAATAAGCACTAGCTCTTATGATGTCTTATTTTCTCCAAAATAGCTGTTCCTACCATCTGATCTTCTCTGCTTCATTTCTGTTGAGCTCTTTTTCTGTCGTTTGTTGTCAGTTTGTCTTCTTCATTTCGCTTTCTGCTCCATTCATTGTAGCCTCTCTGCCACTGTTTCTGAAGTCTTAGTATTTTCCTTTTTTAGAATATCCTGCAGTATTCTCTGTAGAGTTAAGTTGGTGGTTGCAAATTCCCCTAGTTCCTCTTTATCTTGGGAGCACCTTGTTTTTCCATCAATTTCTAGGGAAAGTTGTGCAGGATCTATCAATCTTGGCTGGAGGTTGTTATCTTTCAAAGCTTGAATTATTTCCCCCCACGCTCTTTGTGATTTGATGGTTTGTGCCGAAAAGTCTGCTGTAATTCTGATAGGTGTTCCCTTGTAAGTGATCTGTTTCTTGTCTCTGACAGCTTTTAGTATTCTGTTATTATATTGGATTTCTGGAATTTTGATTATTATATGCCTGGGTGTAGCTCTGTTTGGGTTGTAGGTGGCTGGGGTTCTGTATGCCTCATACATCTGAGTATCTTTACCTCTTGCTAAATTAGGGAAATTCTCTTGGATTATTTCTGTGAATAGCTTTTGTAGTCCATTTGTTTGTGTTCCTACTTCTTCTTTTATGTTCTTAATTCTTAATTTATAGATCCTCTTATCATCTTCTAGCCTTTGTATTATTGCTGTTTGTTTTCTTGTTATTTTTAAGAAGTTTTTCATTTCATGCTCCCAAATTACAAATCTGCCTTCCAATTCAGGTAATCTATCCTTAGTTTCTTTCAAGCTGTTATGCCAGCTTTGGATAGAGTTTTTAGTTTCCTGGTAATCTCTTTGAACCTGCTTCACGTATTCTATGTTTTCTCTATTTTCTCCATCAAACAATTCTCCCCTTTTTTTCTGTTCTTCCATTTCACCATCTGTATTTTCTTGGGCAGTACTTAGCATTTCTCTAACTATTCTACTTATATCTTGCTTTATTTTGTTAAATACTTCATTTTTAAACTCATCTATGAGGCTCTGGAGATATCGCTTTATGTCTATTGGTGCCGTGTCTGATATTGCATGTTTTCTGTTTTCCTTTGTGTTTCCCTTTTCTGGATCTGTGTTCTCAGGATTGGGGACTGAGGACCCTCTCTTGTTGCTTCCTCTTCCCATACTTTTTATTCTTTCCATACAAGTGAATGTAGGAGGCCCAATTTTTTTCTCTTTTTCGGTTATGGTTTGTTTGAATTGCACCGACTAGGTGTTCCCGCCTACTATAGTGTACAAGGGAGACTTAGACCTAGGCAGCCTCTGCTGGGCCCTCCCCTCCAGGTCAAACTACCAAAGGCTTCACTGCTAGGGTGCACCTCCAGGCACTGGGACCTGATTTGGGCTGGTTTGGATCTTAGCGACATCACACAGGTCAGGCACTCCCCACCAATCCCGCTTGAGAGGGAAATATGCGACTAATGTCACTGCAGCGCCCTGTTCTGGCAAGTCTGCCGGGTCCCAGTATGTCCTTTGCTGGAGCCTCCTACTCTATGAAAGGGTCCCCGTCTGCTCACTCACTGCAAGTTGATGTAGGGCTCCCTACCAGTCCCGCTCTCAACTCTGTTTGCAGATTCCCACTTTCAGAGCTTTCACGTGTCTCTCTCCCTGCCAGCAGATTTGGATGCAGCAGCGGCAGCAGGAAATTCAAATCGCAGCTTCCAGTGGCATGGGTTCTAGCTTCCGCGCTGAGATTTTATCTGTTCCTGTTATAGCACCAGGATTGGATTTCCAGTTGGTTTCTCTTCGCTTAGTTCATTCCTGGGTCGGCAGGGTGTATCTCCCCTTGCTTAGGACTCCTCATACCACACCATTCCTGGATTTTAAGCAGGGTACCTCAGAGATCCTCCGTAGCTGCTGCTATCTATCTGCCATGTTCTTCTGGAAGCCTCTTTAGTTGTTTTCTTTTGATTGATTTTATTCTATTTTGTTTTGCTTAATTTTATTATGTCTGATGATATAAACAGCTACTTTGAAGACAACAAGATGCTTTATGCTAGCCACTGTTTTGTCTTGTTCTGAAGTTCTATATTGCTTTCATTGTTTTGCTTTGATTGGTTTTATGCTGTTCTGTTGTTGGATTTTATTATCCCTGATGGTAAGGGCAGTTATTTTGAAGATGGCAAGAAGCATCATGCTAGCCATTGTCGGTTTCCTTTTATCTTGTCTTTAAGTTTTGTATCACATTCATTGTTTTGTTTTGATTATCACTATTCTATAATATTTCTTTCAATTTTATTCCCTCCCCCCCCAAAAAAAAGTTCACTAGTACCTCAGTGGTCAAAGTCCTCAGGGCAAATGGTGTAAAAGTATAGATGTTTTGAGGTGTTCTGGTGTTTGGAGGATTCCGTGTTCTGTTCTATCTTTTCTTTTTCCTTTTTTTTTTTTTTTTTTTTTTTTGCCTTTTTTGTTACAGGGCACCACTATGCAGTTCAGGCTGGTCTTGAGCTCACTTTGTAACCCAGATTGGTCTCAAACTAACAATGATCCTCCTGCCTCAGCCTCCCAAGTGCTGGGATTACAGGTATGCACCACCACGCCTGACCTGTCTTATCTTTTCTTTATACCACCTTGCCTGGTTTTTGCCATGGGTAGCAGCATTGGTGCTGAACTGAGTTTTCTCTGAGGACAGTGGTCCTTCTGACAAATAGATTGGGTTCTGGGAAAGTCATGCCCAAATGAGCCTGACAGATTTAATGCTTTCTTCTTCATTAAAAGCTTCAAGTTTTTTAAACTGTATGATTTTAGTTTCTTAAAAGAAAAGGTGCATGTAGTATAATATCTGCTACATATTTGGTAATGTGCTGCATTCCAACAATAGATGTGGATGCTTCATTTATGTGTTTATTGGGCCAGATCCAGGGCTGCTCAGATTCAGGAGTTCACACTCCAGTGAATGAGAAAGTCAAGCAATGAACAATACATAATGAATATAAAGATGAAAACAGATGGCATTTGCAGTGTGATAGAAGGCACTGCAGAGGCTGTGGAGACTGTGACAGGCCACTTAGGCTCCTAAGCTCAGGTTCACTCAGGTCTGTTTGCTCATCAGTTACCAAGTGAAAGGAGACCATATGTTCTGGTGAAAAGGAAAAAAAGGATTTATTCAAAGTAGCCCTGAATAAATTATGCCTCATTTGTCTCAAGTCACCATCTCCTGGTTGCAAGGGGTCAAGGATCTTTTACAGTAAGGAACAAAAAAGGAGGTGAGTACAGAGAGACGATGCAGATCTCCACATTTGCTTTACTGATTTTAGCCACCTGAAAACTCATTGCCCCCATTGTTGTGGATTGGGAACTGGGCACTGGAATTCCTGGTGTCAGTATCTGCATATTCTATTCCTTCATTTGGTCTGGGAGGAGGTGGGAGTTGCTTGTAACCCAGCCATCAGGAAGCCACTTATCCTGAAAGGAAATAAAACTAACCTCTAAAGTTCCATTTTGTGGGGCTGGCAAGAATTATTAGAGGAACACAACCCCTCAGCTGAATTTTGAGGAATTAGAAGTAGGTGAAGGGAGAGATAAGAACCTAAAAAAGATAAAAATGTGTTTGAAAAGCCCATAAATATGAAGCAGGAAGACAAGTTTAGACTATTTGCCTTGAAATCTGTTCTTTCCTTTCCACTGGTCCTGCACCATCTCGCATTCTGCACCTTATTTTCATGGGTGGCTCACATAGAGCTTCCCACCTGCACTCCCTGCCTCCAACCTCTTCTCCTAAATATGCACTTGGCTTCCAAATCAGTCTTCTGTGAGAAGAGTTATGATAAGTACGTAACTTCTGTCCTATGCTTTTATGGTATTAAATATCCACAAGGAAAAAACGGTGTTTATTAGGGTTTACCTGCACTGAGGTTAATTACAGGATACAAAGTTAACACACAAAAGTCAATGCATTTATGGTTTGATTTGGCTTGATTAGAACCAAATCATTTTATTGGTTTAGTTTGGTTTTGAGACATAATTTCACTATGTTTCTGGGTAGCCTCGGCTGGTCCACAATTGGATGTCTTCCTGCCTCCACTTCTTGAGATTATAGACAATGGCACCATGCTCAGCTCAAAAGTCAATTGCTCTTTTACATACCAAAAATTTAAAATAGAAATTTAAAATAAAAAACAATGTGGTTTTCATTGCCATGAAGAGAAGTACAATATTTATGCATCAATCTAACAAAATATGTAAAGCTGCTGTGACTAAATGTTATAGGAGCCAGGGCAATGGCTGGATGAATGTTTTTATTAGAGATAGCTAAGTTAAGTAGAAATATTATAGGCAGTCAGACAGGGATGGGCCCTCAAGAGTCAATGAAGAGTACAAAAACGCATTGCACCTGTAGCTGGAGGTACATCTGCTGGGGGCCAGGCCTCAGGATAAAGCCAATGAGCAGGCCTACACCCCTCCTGAAGGATAAAATGAGTGGTAACACCTGTTCCAATAAAGTCTAGATGGACATCAGTCACCCTGGTGGGTAACCAAGATCCCCTAATCCATCCCTTCCTTTAAAAAAAGGTCTTTGTTCTTTCCATCTACACTTGCTAATCACATGCTTCCCCATTGGATCGATATTACCTATATTTCTAATCTTATTGGTTAATCATAGTTTTGTCCCACATTGTATCTACCTTGTAATTTTGCTCTTCAAAACTTATTTTGACTTCCATTGTCAACTCACTTTTGGTTCCTTTATTGTCTCTCAGGAGCTATCTCTCTCAATAAATATTTCCTAACCCTAACCTTCATAATTTCTAAGAAGTTATTCTTCAATTTTGTGGAACATTAACTCAGTGTACCTAACATCTCACAGATTGGGTGTTTCATTTATTACCCCTACATCATTTGGAGGTTTCAGCAAAATAATTGGAAGGAGATAAGTGTTTGCTCAGAAATTGTCATCCTTCTTTGTCAGTTGCTTATGCCTTGATATTTGTTTTGAAGACAGTAAAATAAAACAAAACAAGACAGGACAAAGCCAATCGAGACAATCAGTGAAACTGATACAGAACTTCAGAGCAGGATATTGAAATAACAGTAATAGGTACCATAGTATATCTTATCTTCACAATAGCTGTCCATTCAATCAGGTATAGCAAAATCAAACCAAAAACAGAACATTATAAAACTTATCGAAACAGAATATTGAATAGAGAAAAATAATCAGAACAAAGCAAAACAGTGAAGACAATATTGGCCTTCAAAAAGAAGATAGAAGGAAATCCCCATATTTGCTGTATTGCATAGGGTCATCCTCCCAAGAGATGCTCAGACCTCTGGCCCCAGGTCAGCATAATCAACCCAACAATACAAGCATTTAGTTGCTTTATGTGCCTTAGTTGCTGTCAACTCTGACTGCTCCACACCACCCAGTTGGGGGTGGAGGGTTGATTCTCAGCCCACGCCCGGTAGGTTCATGGGAGACACTGACTGGCATTCCCCACTGCTCGCTTGCACCTATTTTTGCCTATTTTGTTTTCAAAACAAAATAATAGGAGAATAACAATAGTTAATATATGGCATATTGTTATCTTCAAAGTAGTTACTGAGAGTACAAGATATGGGCATAAAAATTCTCTAAGTAGTATTCACACAAACGTTTCTTTTCAGTGAACTAAGAAAAAACTAGTTGTGTAATTATCTTGTACTTTTTTTTTCTTTCCCTTCCCTCCTTTCCTCCTTTTTTCACTCTAGTTCCTCTTTCCTTTTGAACAATTTCTTCCCATTTCACAATATCTATTCTACATTTTGATCCTTATTTACTCTTTCAGTTTCTTACACCAGTGAGACAATGTGATGTTTACACATGTGAGTCTGATTTATTTCACTTATAAGTTGGTCTCAAATAGCATCCATTTATCTATGTCTCAAGTTTACCCTTCTTTGTGTCTATCTCATGAGACTGTTTTCCCAATGTATTAAGGATGAGAAGTTGTTAAATACTTGGCTCAGCACCCAGTCCTTTGGTACTGGACTACAGTGATGTTTATGACTCTACACAGTCACAGGGGAGAAAAATTGATGACAACCCAGCTAAAATAGTACACCAAAAGCCTAAGGATGTGGTTTCCAAGGCAACCATAAGATAGTCTCTTCCACTATTATTCAGCCTGAGGTTCCCTCACCTTCTGCACCCTATGGGTGAAGTTTGCAAACCAACCTTAATTGAAGCACCCACTGGGCTATATACATCCCTATTTGATCTTGTTTGGACTCCTCAAAGACAGTATATACCCCTTAGAGGATGTGAGTGGAGAATTTGGCACTACTTGGGTCCATATGTGCTTTTCTCCCAGTGACCGCCAACAGATCAAATGAGATCTAGGAGATCTACAGGGTACTTACTCAGGCCTATACAGTAAACTGGAAAGATGGAATGTTCCTCTTAAATCAAACACTGATTTCTATTGAGAGACAAGCAGCACTACAAGCGGCTATTACATTTGGAGATGAATACCACATTGTTAATTTTAGAAGACTAGAAAACAAGCAGCCAGGGGAACAGCTGGTTCCTACCAGAGACCAAGTAGTTCCCACACAAGATCCCTACTAGCCTGCCAATGAGACAGGAAGCTGGAATAGGAGACATCTTCAGGTATGTATTCTTAAAAATGTCCAAAATAGAGAACCCCTCTGCCTTCTTAGATCATTTATAAGGCACATTGATAAAAAATAAATCCCTCGCTCCTTTGGCGGAAGAACACATTATTCTTAAAGACAAGTTTATTGCCCAGTCCATCTCAAATACTAGGAAAAAAACTACAAAAGATGGCTTTTGCTTGAGATACCTCCCTGATACTTTAGTGAGAATTACCACCTCAGTATTTTATAATCAACACCAGGAGGAGGCCAAAGGGAAAAAACAAAGACACCAAAAGAAAGTGGCTGCCTTTGCTGAAACCTTAGAAGAAACAGAGTCTAAGTCTGATTCTCGGGGCTCCAAGAAGAGCTCAGTGACTTAACCCACCTGCGGTCTCAGTGGAAAGCCAGGCCATCTTAGAAGGAACTGTGATAAAAACCATCACAGCGGGGCTGGGGATTTAGCTCAGCGGCATAAGCGCCTGCCTTGCAAGCAGGCAGTCGTGAGTTCAATTCCCGGTACCGGTTTAAAAAAAAAAAACCATCACAGCAAGAGGGCCCGAGGGCTGTGCCCTGACTGCAGAGGCAACCACTGTACTTTAGACTTCACCATGAGCTGGAGCCCAGGTAGTCATGACTGTGGAGGGAAGACAAAGTAGACTATTGCTGGACACTGGCCATCTCTGTCCTTCTCAACCCTCTCTTCCATCTAGCCATCATACCTCAGTGAAAGGAGTCATGGAGCAGAGGTTACTCACAATTTCTTGCAACCCTTAGATTGCAACTGGGATGACTTCCCCTTTCCCCATTTCCTTTTTAATTATGCCTGAAGGTCCAGTTCCCTTCCCAGAGAAAACTTATCTTGCCTGCATACTGTAATTTACCTGAGTCCAGGTCAGGTACACTGCCTCCCCCTCATGGAGAGAGAAATAAATCCTCAAGTATAAGCAACTAAAAGTAGTACAGAGAGCAATAGGGGCTGCCCTAGCGCAAACACATCTCAAAGATCCCACTGTTCTTCCTCACTGGAGGTAATACCTGCTTAAGGTCTAACTTTAAAGGAACTATTGCCTATAATTGACAACTTAAGTGCAACAGGTTTACTTTCACGTTGTGACAGCCCTTGCCACACTCCAATCTTGGAATTTCAAAAACCCAGTGAAGAGTAAAAGCCAGCACAGGTCCTTAAATTGGTAAATGAGGCAGTAATGCCAATCTACCTACCCCATATGCTCTCATTTTCCAGATCTTGAAAGACACCTGTTGGTTTCCAATGTTAGGTTTATTTATGTATTTATTTATTTTTGTCTTTTTGGACACGGGTTCACTATGCAGCCCAGGCTAGCCTCCAAATCACAGTAATTCTCCTTCTTCAGCCTCCCACGTGCTGGGATTACAGGTGTGCACCACTGCACCAGCCTCCAGTGTAAGATTTAAAAGATGACTTCTTTTGTATTCCTTTACATACACATTCTCAGTTTCTTCAGAAAACCGCATGACCAGGCCTCTCAACTAATTCAGACTGTGCTTCCTGAAGGGTTCAGAGATAATCCTCATCTTTTTGGACAAGTACTGTCCCATGGTTTGTCATGTTCTGAATTTTCCCAAGTCACAGCACTACAATATGTAGATGATATACTATTATGTGCCCCATAAGAAAAGTTCTCTAGCCAAGGTCACCATGCTGTGCTGAATCTTCTGCAGAGAGAGGTAATAAGGTTTCTAGGTCTAAGGCATACCTTTTCAGCCTTGCAGTAAAATACTTGGGATTTATATCTAAGGGAATCTTAAGGCTGGGGGAAGAGAGAATGAAACCAATATTTTCTTTCCCACAGCCCAGGTCCCTAAAACAGCTAAGGGGATTCCTAGGAATTACAAGCTTTTATCACTTTTGGGTAACAAGGTATGGTAAGAACACACAACTTCTCTACCAGCTTATAAAGAAAGCCCAAAAGGTAGATAAACATATTTTAACCTGAGAACATAAATGCAAAACTGCATTCTAGAAGCTTAAACAAGCACCTCAAAATGCCCCCAGCACTGTACCTACTGTCAGGAAACTGTTTCAATCTTTATGTTGATGAAATATAGGGCATGGTTTTGGGAGTGCTTACCCAGGATCAAGGACCTGCTCAACATCCTATAAGACACCCAAGTCATGACTTGGACATTGTAGCAATGGGATGGCCTGTGTGCCTTACAGCTCTTACTGCTATCACTCTCCTGGTACCCAAGTCATCCAAACTGACCTTAGGCAAAGATCTCACTGCATATACACCTCACAATAAGGCAGGACTTCTTTCTTCCAAACAAAGACTATGGCTATTAGTCAACTGACTCCTGAAATACCAGGACTTACTTCTAAAAGACCCAGTCATTCAAGTAGAGACATGTTCTTTCTTAAACCTTGTCATCTTTCTACCAGGAAAGGGGGGCATTGAGGTTGAAAGACATGACTATGGATAGATAATTCTCCATATGTACACAGCCGGAGATGACTTGTTAGACACACCCCGTTACTAGTCCTGATTTGATGCTTTTCTGTGATGGCAGTTCCTTGATGGAAAATAGCACAAGAACAGCAGGTATGCAGTAGTGACTCTACATCAGACCTTTGAAAGTTCCTCACTTGCCCCTGGGACTAGAGTCCAGCTAGCAGAACTCACAGCTCTGACAAGGGTTTCGCAACTGATTTGCATATTACAAGGAAGGAGTGTTAAAAATATCAACAAAAAAATCTGTAAACTTACACTATCTACAACATCAGTGATCTAGAAGTACATCTGGTTGGTGTGATCTCTGGCCCTTCCCTAGGATTAGAGGATATCATTTAGTACATCAAGGCTGAGGCTAACTATACTCAGTGGGCCTTAAATGATATCTTGACTGCTCTCTCTCCCCTAAATTAAGGAATAAAATTAATGAGTCAAGTTGTCCTCCCAAATTGAATGGCATTAGACATCCTAACACCTGCACAAGGCAGCACTTGTACAATTGTAAAAGCTGAGTGTTGTGAGTGTATTTCTGACACTTCTGCTATTAAAGATATTAGATAGCTTAGTGCCATGTTGAATTCTGAAATTCCCTGGACATTTTCCTTACCTTCTTTGTGGGAGGCTATTATTGGTTTTTCTTGGTGGAAATATTGTTGGTAGTATTCATAATAGTCTTGTTCATCTTATTATTTGGCTGATACAATTTAACTGTTTCTGTGGCCTTGTCTCCTCCATATGTAAAGCTCCATGACTATGGACCAGGGTTACAGCTCAGTGGCACAGTGCCTGCCTGGCTGAGGTTCCTCTCCCCTGTTGATAACATCGTGAGGCTGAGGTGCCTAAGTAATTCCTGATTAAAGCTTCTACCAGGCTATATTTTTATCTAACCTAAGTAAAGCCCAACAAGGGCTATATCCTTTGCAGGAAGCTGGGAGTGAGGCCCCACCTGTACATGTGGCATCTCCCCCTAGTGAGCTCAAACAAATGAAATTTTTGAAAACATTTGCAGATGGTCCTGATAAATACATTGAATCTTGAGAGAGCTCACCCAAACATGAATTGATCTGGAAAGACATAATGTTGCTTTTAAATTAGATCCTGATCCATAGTAGAACAAAAATAGCAGCATTATAGGCTGCTGTAGCCTTTGGGTAAGAGCTACCTCAGGTCCATTACAGAGGACCAGAGGATTTACCACCAAGAGAGCAATAAATGCCTAATGGAGCTTGGGTAGTTCTGGTACAGGAACCCAAACGGCATAATTCTGCAGTTAGAGACTGCATCAGGAAGTATTTCCAGGCCTGCATTTTCAGTGCATGTTGGGCAAAGTACAGACATCGGTCACACTTTGGAGAGATTCATGCTGAAACTAAGAGAGAACATATCTTAAATTTTTAAAAAAATTGATAAAGAGTTGGAGACACATTGGGAATAGTCATCCATCCCTGTAGCGCCTATACTCAGGTGGTTGGGGCAGGAGGCTTGAGTTTGAGGCCAATTTAGCCTGATCCTGTCTCAAAATTTAAAAATTAAAAGGAGTAATGAAATAGTTCAGCACTTTTTATGTTTACTTCACAGCATCCCACCCCTCACAAAGAAAGATAAAAGAATCTCTCTCTCTCTCTCTCTCTCTCTCTCTCTCTCTCTCTCTCTCTCTCTCATCAGCATCACCTCCAAATAAGTACAGACAATGGGTTTAAGTAAAAATTACAAAATCACCAGCAGAGTTTGAAGGGATGAAGGATCGCCTTGGTTGGAATCCTAGAGATACAGAGGTAAGAGAAGTGGTTGGCTTCCTCAGGGAGACTTCAAAGGTGGCCTAAGGACCTAAGAACAAAGTAGTTCTTCTTGGAGTACAGGAAAACAAGAATTTGAACAGATATAAAACACACCAACGCTCCCTAAAATGCCCATTAAAAATGATTTTATTGCTGTGATTACAGTGCAGTAAAGTCTGGCATGAAGGCCTACATCTCTACACAGACAAACCTCTAAAGCAGAAAAGAAATATATGTATACATTCAATCCCAGGCTAGTCCAGTATCCTAGACACTTTAATACTTTGAGCACTTCCCTTTTTTCTTTTGTGGGAGCAAAGAAATAAATACAAGACAGACAGAACAATAAACTGCAGTAGAAGCTGTGTCGAAAGATTAAAAAAAAAAAAAAGCAATCAAAACTGTACAGAAGCCAGCAGTGGAGAGGGGGTGATGAATACAGACCCAGTGAACAATTTGAAATGAGGACTTCAAGTGTCATGGCAGTTAAGAAACATCCCTCCAAGAAACGTGCAGAATCAGGGTGAAAAGATTTGCAATTTTTGTCTCCATTAATGCAGATAACGCTGGGCATAGCACAAGTAATAGCCATGTTGGGAAAAGAGTCATGCAGAAAGCTGTTTGCAGACTTGCCGAGGAAATACTGGCACCCAACGCTGCTGCCAAGATTGAAGAGGACGTGGTTGTATGAGCTAGATTTCAAACCACTGAGCCCCAGAGAGGCCCAGAGGCACAGTCCAAAGAGGACACAGGAGCCCACGCAGCTCCAGCAGAAACAGGAGAGGAAACGTCATATCTCACACTTTCATGTCTGTGTAGAGAAAAGGAAGATCATGGTAATAATAAAAAGAAAGCAAAATTACTAATCACAAGTATTTATGTTCTTATTTTGCCTTTTGGGATATCAAAAGAAAGGAAATGTAATCAAAATTTCAGACAATCTTATCTAAGTGTACTGGAACCAACGGATAGGAAGTGTCATTCTTCTGAGGTGGTTCACAGGCCACAATGAAGAATTTGAACTGGGAAGCATTCTTGTAGCGACAGTTGGGATACTTCCCTCCAGTGAGCTTGCAGTTGGTCAGGCTGACAGGACTTGCACTCTGGTGGCAGTTGTGCTGGCCATTCTTGCAGGTGATATTGGGCAAGGTACAGGAATCACTCACATTTTGGAAAGAGTCATGCAGAAAAGTGTTTAAAGGCTTACAGCGCTTGGTATAATTGTTGACATCGCTCATTGCTCCATCACATTGGAGAGGAATTGGCTGTATGTGCTGGATCTCAAACCACTGAGCCTTGGTGAGGCCCTTAGGCAAAGCCCACAGTGGATACAGAAGCCCAAACAACCCCAGCAGCAACAGGAGAGGAAACCTCACATCTCGCTCCATCTTTTCTGTGTAGGAAATGGGAAAATCATGGTCATATTAGAAGCAACAACAGCAAAATTGTTAATCATAACTTTGCAGGCTTGTTTTGCCTTTTGAGATTTCCTTCCTCCCTTAAAAATCTCTCTCACACAGTCTCATAATTCGAGTGAAAAGACTGTGCAGTAAGCAGACTCTCCCTTGACTGGCACATCCCACTCCTCTCTTGATCCCTGCTTCTGTGTTCAGTAACCTCACATCACATTGGAAACCTGGGTATTCTACCTCTTCCCTCCTGCGACGCTGCCCGTCATCCCTGACGGCCTCCTCCCAGCCTTCGTTACCCTACTCATCCCAGCCCTCTTACCAGGATCTGTGCTGGGCTCCTGGTGGGTGCACAGCAGTGGTTAGTCCAGTTCAGAGGATTCCTTCTGCGTGTCTTCTCCCCAGCCGACCAGCGCTGCTGTGCCTGGCAGGGAAAGGTATATTGTGAGCCTCAGGAAAGACGACCCTGCCACTTTGAAGATGTGGACTTGTTCTGCAGTGGAGATGAGATTCTAGACTTTTAATCTCCTCTTGAAATTCATATCCTTGTCACTATTTATAGAGGAAGAACTCTCATTTGTGAAACAGGATGACTCAGAACAATTTTGAGGAACTGACAACTTCCTGATAAATCTTCAGTGCTTCTTTCTTGAATCCCCAAGTCAGTTTTTTTTTAAGCTCTATGATTTCAGTTCCTTTTCTTCCTTTCTTTCTTTTTTCTTTTACTTGTTTATTTATTTTTATCTCCTTTGGTTTGTTGACACAGGGTCACACTGTCTAGTTCAAACTGTCCTTGAACTCACTATGTAGCCCAGGTTAGCCTCTACTTTGCAGGATCCTCCTGCCTCAGCCACCTTACTACTTAAATTTCAGTGTTACATCACCACTCCCAGCTCTGATTTCAGTTCCTTAAGAGAAACAATAAATTGATATAACAGCTGCAGCATACTTGGTAATGTTGCAAGCTCAACAATAGATGTAAAAGCCAGACATGGTGGCATGTGCCTGTAATCCCAGAACTCAGGAGACTGAGCCAAAAGAATTCCTGTGAGTTCAAAGCCAACCTGGGCTACAAAGTAAGTTCAAGGCCAGCCTCAACTACATAGTGAAACTCTGTCTCAAAAAGACCAAAAAAGAATGAATTATCCATCAATATATGTGTTTATTGAGCCAGGTCTTTCAATACTCAGATTCAGTTCATGTTTTAATTATAGTCAGATAACTAGAGAAATATGCTACAAAGATAAGGACAGACTGCATGAGCAGGATAACGGAGGACATTGCCAGGGATGTGGGGAGGCTGAGGGGAAAAATTATTAGGATCCTGAACCTGAATTCAACTTTGAAGAGGGTTTAGCTGTAAGGTAATTAGAGGTAAAGAGGGTGATAAGGCCTAAAACAGAAAATGTATATGAGGAGACCAATAAGGAGAAAGGCAAATTTAGGGCCTTGGCCTTTGACTCTCTTCTTTCCCTACCCGTGTTGCTGCAATGCTCTCATTCTGCACTAGTTTTCTCATAGAGGCCTCACATAAGCTTCCCACGCGGACTTCCTGCCTCCAGCCTCTCTTCCTTACAGTCCATTCTGCTTTCAGATTAGTCCTGCGCCAGCAGAGTTATAATAAGCTCAGCACTCTTGTCCAATGCCTTTAATGGTTCCAGATACCTACAGGGAAAATACGATGCCTGCTTGTGGTTTACCTTCTCTGTGGTTATTTCCAAGATATAAATTTAATATACAAGATGCTTCTTTTGTTTGGTTTGGTTCTGTTGTGCTCTGAAACAGGGTCAAACTGTGTCACTGTGTAGCTCAGGCCATTCTAGAACCTAAAACTTACTGACCTCCTGCTTCGGTCTCCTGAGTGCTAAGAATACAGACGTGTACTACTGTGGCCAACTCAAAAGAGAACCACAGCAAAGGACAGTGCAAATTTCAAATTACAAACACAGTAACATTCACGTTGCTCCAAAGAAAGGGAAATGCTTAGGTGTCAAACTAGCAAAGCATATAAAGATTTTGCGTGAGGCAACCTTTTGTTGTTAGTTAGTTAGTTTGTTCGTTTATTTGTTTGTTGCTGTAACCAATTATTCCAGGGAGCTAAGGTTGTTGAGGTGGGGAAAGGGGTTAGAGGCCCAAAACCGGACATCAACTATCTCTATTAATTTGCCTGTTTACCACAAAGAGTTTGAAAAAAGCCTATAAAACATGGAAAACATTCACAATCTGGTCAAATTCCTCCCCCTCCACCCAGCTCACATCAGTGCTTCAGTTTACGGAATAGTTAGAGCAACACCAGGAAATATGCCAGGTGTTAGTCAGTAAAGGACTCAGAAAAAAAACTGTTGAAAGTCTGGTTCTCTCAAAAGTTTTGCTTTCTCCATGAAGAGCTGGGGAAACAGAACTTTAAACAGCTGTAATTTTTAAGTATCTATATTATCCTCTCAGTTACAACAAATATCTGAGAAAAAAGTTAAAGAAAGGATTTGTTTTTGGTTCACAGTTTCCAAGGTTCAGTCCCTGGTTGCTGGCCCCATTGCCTTTACACCTGTGGCCAGGCAGAAACATCATAGTGCAAAGGATCCCAGAGGAAAGATGCTCACTTCATGACCATCAGGAAACAAGAGAGAGAGAGTGAGAGTCAGAAGGAAGGGGCCAAGTACTAAATGTAATCCCCCAGGTCTCTTTCCCATGTTCTGTTCCCTTCAACAAGATGCCCTTCTGTTTCCATTACCTCTCAATAATGCATCAAATTATGGTCTTATCAATGGATTAGTACTGGTGAAGTTAGAACCAATCCACCAAACTGTCAGCAATCAATCTTTCAAAACATAAATCACGTGAAGCTCTTGGGAAACGTAGTCAGATTGCTTTGAGTAAAAATATAAAACTTTGATGGAAGAAATCCAAGTGCTAAATGACTACATATTTCATATTTATGGACAGGAAGAATCAGTATTATTTAGTTCTTTGTCATTTGACCTATAGATTAAGTACGATCTCAACGAACATCTCAGTAAGTTATTTATAATTATTAACAAATTCTGAAGTTTACATGGGAAGCCAAAGTTTCCAAATTATCCACACAATGAGGCAACACAAATCAGAAGCCCGGCAGGACCCAACTTCAAAGCGTTACAGAGCTACAGTAATCAGGAAAGCATATTAGTGTTCCATGGCTGTTACACAATAACTCACATAATCATCTTAGAAGTAGGAAACCAGTATTGTGGCTCACAATTTCAGTGGTTTCTGTCTGTTGGCAGGTGGCCCTGTGGCTTTGGGTCTATGGCAAGGCAGTCATTATGCTCAATAGTTTGTGGTGGAGCAGCATTCTACCCACACTGCTCTATAGTTGGCAAGAAACAAAGAAATGGAAAGAAGAGGGGCTGGGATCTTAGTTTCCCCATACTCTTACTGTCATGCTCCCATTGATCTAAATGCTTCTACTAGGCCCCACCTCGGAAAGGTCCCAGCGCCTCTCAACTGTGCACAAGTTGGGGACCAGACCTTCAACACATGGGCCTTTATCAGGATCTAGACTACAGCAGACAGTGTGATGTTAGTGAATGAATAAACAAATAGGTAAACAGAACAGAATAGAACACCCAGAAATGAATACAGAGTGAGCCAGTCTTTGACAGTGAACAATGATAATTCACCTGAGGAAAGACTGTCTTTATGACTTATGGTCATAAAGTAACTTGTGGTAATAGAGCAACTATACATCCACATGCCAAAAAAATTTTTTACAAATCTATATCTTATATACTTCCATAGATCTACATTGAACATCTTTTACAAAAAAATGAATTCAACATGTTCCATAGACCTAAGTGTAAAAAATTGCATAAAAATTCCAGAAGATAATATATGAAAGAATGTACACAACTTTGGGTTCAGTGATGGTTTTTTATATACAACACCTAAAGCAGAATCTATAGCAGAAAACATGGACAAGATAAACTTCATTCAAATAAAAAGATTCCTACTCTGCAACAGTGTTAAGAGCATAAAAAGACGAGCCAGAGGAAAACATAAAATACAAGCATAAGATATATCTGATGGAATGTTATAAAGAACTACTAAACCCCAATGATAGAAAAACACAGAAGGTTCTGCAAGTTTTTTCTGTATGTGTGGCACTGGAGATTGAATCCTGGATCTCCATACTGAGCTCCATTCCTAGGCTCAAGTTTATTTTTGAGACAGAGTCTCACTAAATTGTGCTGCCTACAGCAGGCTCTAATTTGTGATCCTCCTGTCTCAGCTTCCTATGGTGGTGAGATTACTGGTATGCACAACCACAACTTATTGTGTGCAACTTTGGAAGGGGTACTTGGAATCAAACTCATGACCTCACGTTTGTCAGGCAGGCGCTGAGCCCTGAGCTATATATCCTTGGCCAGGTGCAGCTTTCTGATGACAAATAAAAATCTTAGGAAATTTTCTTTCTGACCAGAATTTTCTCTATAAGAGCATTTACAGACGATTTAGTCATTCTTCTGAGTGCTAACAGACAGTTGTCTTGGTAAAATTCTTTGGAATGACTATGGCAGCTGAGTTGTCAGGAAGTTGCACTAAAGTTAAGATATTGATGTTTTGAGTGTGTGTGTTTGTGTGTTTGCGGCTCAGATGTTTTAAATAAAAAATAATTTTGAATCCATTTGGTGACTTTTAATCACTTCAGCACATTACAAGAGCACTAAAAACACAACAATGAGATACCACTGTTGTTGGCAAATTCCTGAATCAAACCAAAAGAAGACTCCTCAGGGACTGGGGATTTAGCTCAGCGGCATAAGCGCCTGCCTTGCAATCAGGGAGTCGTGAGTTCAATCCCTGGTACCGATAAAAAGGAAAAAGACTGTAAAAAAAAAAAAAAAAAAAAAAGAAGACTCTTCACATCAAGAAGCTAAGAAGGCAGCATCTTTATGCCAGTGGACTATTGTGGGATCATTTCCCCCTGAGTTCACACAGAGTTTAGTTTATATGGCATTTAGAAGTAGAGAGCACAGAGCAAGTGTCAAAATGTGACATAATTAGTTTACAAACATTGAGTCATATATTGACAGGCAGGCTAGTCTTGAACAGATTCGTTGAAACAAAGGGATTGTTTATCACAATATAGAAATATTCCAGGAGCAAGCAGAGGGACCCTTACAGGCTGAGCAGGTCAAAGGTGTCCTTGACTAGCCCAGGGTGCTTACTTTGTAAGCACTTACTCTGACTCTGTGCTCATCAGAGGAGTGCAGTTGGACTGACCTTGACTGTAGACACTGTCAAGGTCAACAGAAGTTAACAAAAGCAGCAGAAATCTGGTCAGAAACCTCTAATTGTCTCTAATTTGTATCATGAAATACCTATAAGTTTTCTCTTTTATAAATGTGTTCTTACATTATAATTGTGCCCAAACACTACCACACACCAGTTACAACAGCTGAACTTTTAAAAAAAACATCAAATGCTGGTGATGATGAAGAGGAGCTAGAATACTACTTCACCGAAGGTAAGCATTTAATTCCACATTGGTATCTTGGGGTGAATATTGTGA